TCACTCGGACGTAAATGGATAACAAGATCGGGGGAAGAAAGTTTCCATACCGCAGAGCTACAAGAGGCTGAGACGGTGATTGAATCTTGAGTACCCGATCGACAAGGCTGTGGGATTCTCGGAAGAGGACACTCTGTGGGCACGGCCAGCGCGAGCGTAGGCGCCAGCTTTCGAACGATTCTTTGAAACCATTATTCACATTCTCGCTTTGCCGCGAGCATTTCGTGTTCCTCCGCGTTTGGTGTTCTTCCCTTTTGCGTATTTTCGATTTTCTCTCTCTTCAATTTGCTCCATGTCCCTTCTCCTTCCGCCCCGTTTCATCTTATACCCTCATTTTCGTCTAATTTCTCGATTCTTTCCCGTTTCTCTCTGTACCCCCGTTTCTCTCTGTAGCCCCGTTCCTCTCTGAATCCCCTCTCCTCTGAATGCCCTTTTCTCTCTGTACCCCTGTTTCTCTCTATTTCCCCGTTCGCCCCAATATCCTCCCTTTCGATGCTCAATCCGCTCCTCTCGAGTACCACGTTCTCATCCAGCCCCCCTTTCCTCTTTTCCGTTTCCCGTCGTTTCCCCGTGTCTCTCGCTCGTCTCCCTACCTTTCCTCCCGTTAAATCCTTCTCCCGTTCTCCCTCCGTGCCCTCGTTTACCTTCTCCGTGGTCCCTATATACCCCGTATCCCAAGTCCCTTCCATTTCTCCCCTCTCCCTGGGCTTCAAAATCTTCTTCCATCCGTCCAGAAAAACGCGTCTGCCTGTCCTCTATTTTCAGCAGCGGTGAATAAGGAACGGGAATGAGTGAATTCGGATATACGCGCTTCCTTGTTGAACCTCGCCGAAAACTGCCCTCTTCATGTCTGTTTACGCTCTTAACACTGATGATCGTGAGGTCCAGTCCCCTCCCCTCATCTTCCCGTGCTAATTTCTCGGCTGATTTCAACTCCGATGGTTGCGAATCGGGTTGGTTTTCCCCGTTCGTGCTTATCCATTTCAAGATTTCCCCTTGCTTCTCCTTCCTCCCGCTCTCTCTGTCTCCACATTTTCTTTGAGAGCAAAGTCCCCTGACTTACCACGATCTGAGCGGGCACCCGTTTACCCCCTTTCTATTAATTCAGCCGTCTCCCTGTTCCACCCGTTCCCAGCAACGGTAGATTGAAACTCACATCCAACGACGAAGCACCAATTGGACGCAATAATTGTCTTTTGTAACAGAACGGTGAACCGCAGACTGACAACGACCCCTTAAGAACCTTCCCAAAGAGCCCGGTGGACCATCTGACCAAAATTGGCGTCGATCCGCGCAATGGCTTGAGAGTCTATGGGTCACCCACAGACCCACATACATTCGCTTTTTATATAGATAAAGAAGATGTATGGAATCACTATACGAGCAGGGACAACAGCAAATCCGCAAAACTGATTCGAAGCCAAATGGGTCGGTCATGATTTCGAAGTCGTCGCTTTACCGTGAGCCCGCTCTGTCGACCCTCTGAAAGATCACGATCTAGAATCCGTCTACTCTCTCCTCCTTGGCAAATGGTAAATAGCCAAACGGACTCCCTCTCAGTAGGATGAATACTGGAGAAGGGTGGAATATAGAGTCGATGACTCTCTCGCGGTTTTATCGGCAAGTCATCTCCTAAGATGATAACGAATGGCTCCTATAACCGTTGGTCCAATGCCGTCGATTCAGGTAAGCTATCTCCTCGAGCAGCGGCGTCGTCAGAATTTAATACCCAGTCCCCTCTAAGCCTTTGTCCAAGAGGAATATCGCCGGACCTCTCAGAGCGGTCGACATTCACGGCCGCCGCGCTAGGGTATTGCTCGAGTGTGAACCTATGGCGGGCTCGTTGCTATCACTTGTTTTCCGCGCTAAACACTTCTCCGCCATCTGCTGCTTTCCCACCTCCGCGGTGGGAAACCGTAATCTCCCTTACTTCCTTGCGGAGCCTCCGCGGGCCTTGACCGGCTGTTCTCCCTGTTGGATGTCCGCCCGAAAACGTTCGACAAGACACTACTGGGCTCTCGCGAATCAATTCAATACCACGCACCAATCTCTTACATAAAACTCTCCGCCCTCCGCGGAGGGAGCCCATCCAAGATTGAGGTCGGGGCGATCCCTAGTGATTGGTTTGGTGCGGGACTTCCGGAAACCGCCTCCTGGGGGGTACCAAACGATACGTAAAGAATTTCTCGACTCATTCAGTCGCAGGACACCCCCCTCCCCCTTATCCCCGTTCTGATACGCTGCGCTGGTTGCTCCCTCGCATTTGGGCATCGAATTCGTGAAAGCCCATGAGCCAGAACTAGGAGTGTCAACCACAATGCCTGGATGTGGTTCTTCCCATAGAATTTCTGTGTTTTGCCCATCTTTCGTTTCCGATAGGTATAATGCTCCCTCTGCCTCCCCGTTCCTCGAGTTCCTGGGGGTCTGCGTCCAACATAGGTCAAAGGTTGAGCTGTTGTCTCGGGAGACCCTCAGAGCGGAACTACGCTGTAAAAACGATTAGCTACGCCCAGGGGACCGTTGAGGTTGAACAGATGTTTCCTGGAATTTAGACTCTGACCAACTAGCAGCTCTCACTATTCACCTATCAAAATCATTGTTCACCTAGTGAAGCTCGGACACAAGGGAGTCAACATAGAGAAATTAGGAGCTTCCCATGCATCCAATCTTGGAAAAATCAATTCGCAGCACATCAGATCCTCAGGTTATCATGTGCTCGACGATCCGGAATGCGGTCTGATGTTTTCGTCCGAATCGGCGGCTACTATTTCGCCCTTCTTAGATGCATATTCTGTGCTTTTGATTGACTTTTTGCCCGCCCATTCACAAGCTCCAAGCGCCTGGAACGACTAGCCCTAGTTGTTATGATGAACGGGCGACCACGAAATATGATTTCCTTCCGTCTCCGTGAGCCGTGCCGTTTGTTTCGCCCATTGTGTAACTTTCTCATTACTGTTATCCATCCTATCGGAACAAGCATGCGTATTATCCTCCTCCTCGCTTCCTCTCCGGAATCGTGATTGAGATCAGATGTGGCGAGCTGAGAGAGTATTATACAACAGCGTTGTTCGGCATGCACCGGTTACTGTCTTCCTCCTCGAGGACTTTTGCTAGGTTCTCGACTACTGCCGCAGATTGAGAGTTGAGAGCTCCGGTACCGTTTTCCGAGCTCCTCGCAGGATGGGATGTAATATCATAGTGTCATCTACTGAAATGAGACCTTCCTTCAGAATTTCCCCCTTCCCCGCGTGCATTTCTAGTCAGATAGGGACGCTTGTATGAGATCTCCTCTGTTTACGCTACCCTTGAAGGATTTCACTATTACCTGTCGCGAATGGACATGCGAACGATGTCGAGGGCGATGGCGGGTCCATCCGTGGGTCCGCTCGTCGACCGGGAGGATTGGGGGAGGACTGAATTCTCTGAATCTCACTCGACCTCTGCAAACAATTGTTGAGGGGGTAGTCACCGTCGGCAGAGATCTTTTTGCTGAGTGCAGCATCCCCTGGCTATCCCGAATAAACATAGCAAAAAAGGCAGACTTGAACTTTTGCACTCCACCAATGTTTGCACGAAGCCAAACTCAATTGTTTGGATGCATGACAACACTCCCCCCTCCGGCGCCTGATTCGGATCCGTCGGCAACGGAGCAGTCTCCAGAATGTCTTCCAGACTGATCCGAGGAGCTCAGTGGTGATCGCTGGCTGGTGGTTTGTTCTGAAAGCTGTCTCAGCAGACGAGTTCCTCTTCAGCTGATGCGGATCGCAATCTTGGAAAGCGAAAAGGCTGCGGGCGAATATACTTCGCGGGTGTAACGCAGCGCGGGGATGGAGCGATCCGGGTCCATTCTGGGCTTCTTTCTTTCATTTCCAACTATTCGTGGCGATTGAAGGACGGAAATCCAACCAATGCTGCGATACGATTGGAAAATTCGTGCGCCTATATGTTTCATGCCGATCGGAGTGAAGCGCGTCAGGACTAATGAACTGATGAGCTCTCCGAAATCCCACGAAACTTAAGACATCAGTTGTCTACCCTCGCGAGAGCATGAAGCTCTGGAATCTGGAGCATTTCGGTATCTTTCTTCGATTGGGAGCTACGGTTCCTCGCGCGAAGTCTTTCTCCGGAGGGAGGACGGTCACCTTCGTTGCAGAGTGGATTCGAGAGATTCACAAATGAGCCAGGAGATCCCCTGAGCCCATAGGTTTGTCTGGAAGGATTGAAGCGGGTTGGCTCCCGAAGAAGAGCCACGTAGTTTCACGGTCTCGTATTCGACGCACGAATCCTGTCTGAGGCTCGCACCAACTCATCGTCTTATCGACGGGCTCTGCCACAACTGGATAACTTCCTCAGTCAGACCGTAGCATGGAAAAGCATTCATCGGGCCGATGAATGTGGATCCGAGCTCCGGAGGTCCCTCTTCGAAAAACGGTTCTGTTCCCAAGGAAATCATTCCGGATCCGTCCGGAGGGGGCGTCTCCCCTGAGCGTCCATATCATACACTGGTTGAGCCGTATAGCGACCGCGAGCAGAACAACGCTCCGAGTGATTGAATTTCGAATTCGTATGCTCCCTCAGGCTCTTCATTCCGGCCGACGACCTTGGAGAAGAAAAAATCGGGCGGATTTCTTCCGCTTGGCCTATGCTCTCGGGAGCTCCTTGAACCCCCCCGCTGGCCGGAGAAGAGATTCTCGATTGGACGGACTTGCGCTGAAACGAGCGACTGGTACAACATGACAACGCTCTCTACAAACTTGTCGAAGATCGACCGCTCGGGACGACTTGAACGCTCGGTACACCGAGAGGGAACCGCCCTATTCTCTTGAGCTCAGGAGAGACCGATTCGAGTGAGCCAGCCCTCATTCACAAATAACGGACAGATCTCCAAAAGCGAATTTATTCAAACATCGTTTCGGGGTCTCATAGGACGAAAAAATCGATATATACAAGCCCAGTAACGAGGCTGATCGTTCACAGCTCCACTCACACACTCGTCTCACCTGCGGGGCTCTCGTACAAAGGGTTCTGACTGCAATAATTGAAGGAAACTAGTTAAAAGAAAATGTTTCGATCCTAGGGAACAACAAAGAGGGGAGTGGACCAGCTTATCTTGGAGTACCGCTCGACGTTCGTTTGACGGATCGCCTTCGTGTTTCTAAGAGTTTTCTCCCCTTTCGTCAGCCCGCTAGATGATACATTGAGTGCATCGAAGATCTTTTTCGAGAATGACTTATGAACAGCCCGAGGAAACGTTGAGAACGTCGAGAGCTCTCGAGATAGCGGGTTCCAGACCTCGTGGCATCAAATAACGAACTTCGAGAAGCGGTCGGAACAGATGGGAAGCCCGATGTCTCCGTGAGCCTATGCCGTTCGCCCAAGGCGTGAATATGCTGAACTCACCGCTCGCTGCCGGTATTTGTGACGTTTTGATATCGCGCCTCGATGTCACCGCCGAGCAGAGAGCCCGGGTCTTCTGCGTTAAGGTCGAGATCGACCGATTCTGTACAGAAATTATTGATCAATGGCGACACGATGTTTCCCGGATTCAGCTGAATCACATCCTGTCGAAGTTCAAAGAATCCATGAGAAGCTCGTTGAAAACGATATTGTCGCAGGCTTTCGCGAAGGTTTCCGCAGCAACAATCGAAATCATCAAGATCGAACAATGAGGTGTTAGGATCGCATTGAACGACAAACCTGCGATTCCGGTGAGCGCAGTCCCTCGAAAATATGATTCTTTTGACCGAAGCTGTACAAAGAAGGCGTGTCCAGGTGGAGGGATGAATTCCCGACGTTCTTCTGGAAGGATTCCCGATTCCTTATCCGAAAGCTCTCTTCTAATTTTCACGAGTTCGCTCCTCTACCCGAACTCGGAATGACCTCGTTCTCTTTCCTGAGGAGTCGCGTGAGCGAGCTCAATGCAGTCACTCCGATGAGGTGACAGATGTCTCATTCTGCAATTGTTCCAGACTGTGACTGAGGCATGAAAAGAGTCCCGTGCCGATGCCTAATTCCCTCTGACTCGTGTTCGCTCCGAATAAACAAAGGGAAAAACTACTCATACCGGCCTCCGGGGAACAACTTTTGTTTTACTCGAAAGTAGGGAACGCAGTGCTAATGATTTATAAGAACAGAGCACTGGCTGCTGTAACACGAGATCCTAAATTGAATATACTCGGAACACAACGGACTCCGTCGCCCGCCGAGGGGGTCGGACCGAGGAGACCGTACCGTCGAGCCGCCTTCGGCGCCGTCGGGGAGTTTGCTAGGTTTCCCGTCGCCGAGGACAATCCAAACATTCGTTGGATTGGCGAACGTTCCTTAGCGACAAACCGAGCGACCGACCGACGGACCGACGGCTCGATTGTCGACTCCTGGCTGGATCGAATACTTCTCATGGGAAATCGGGGCCGATTTGTCCGCTCCTCTACGAAGCTCCGGGTTTCGGTGCTCTGCGTTTCGAATCCCTCGCCTCTCGCAGCTCCATCCTTGTTTGCATTCGCTTCTCCTGCCGTCGGACGGTCGGTCGCTCCGAACCTCCGCCCGCCGCTCGGAGTAATCTACGAAGCAACACCGTTCCTCGCCTCTCGCATTTCCTCAAAAATAAACAAAACCCGAGCAAACCGACCGTTCGGTGTCTGACTGCTTAGATATGGCGATGCCAGTCGCTAGATTTGTCTTCTGAGCTTTCCAATCGATTGCGTCTGCGAATTTAGCGATCGCATTGAATTGTCGTGCTGCGTCTCCCCTCTTTTGTTCGTTGTCCACAGAGAACAGGAACCCTCGACAACGGCACGAGACCCAGTGGAATCCGGAGTTTCCCGAGCGGCAAGAGCCATCGCTCCACAGAATTATCGGTATCGCTACAGCTGAGATCACTTGTTTTCAACAATTTCGTAACGGAGCTCGGACGCTGGCTTTCCCAAATCGCAGAGTCAAAGCGGGCTTCCTCTCAGCGTTTGAGAACGTCCCGGATTCTCCGTCGAGTTAGCTCTAAGTGGCGATATCAATCTGGAGTTTATATCTGGCAGTAAGGACCGGCCGCGGAGAGTTTCTGTACCTGTCTTCCCTGTTGGCAGAGCTGGGGAGAAGAGTGTTCTGGCACGTAATATGTACGAAGGAGGGAGCAGCTGGCCTCCAAGTCGAGCTTGCAGAGCTTCGACCTCGAATCCTTCCGGGCTTAGCGATTGCTGTGGACAGCGCAGTGGACGCGAAACAGCGCAGAGCACGACAGAAGGTGCTGAAGAACAGGGCATCACCCAGAATCAGATTTGTAAATTCACTACGTGGCAGTAGGGGCTCGGCCTGCAGCCCCCTGATGTACCAGAGGGTTGGTAGGACGCAAGCAAGCTGCTGAAGGGCTTCCCGCGGTAACAATTCGCCCCTTAATGTACGGAGCTGCCTTCGATTCGGTGTCGAGACGACAGCGGCTGCGCCCCCCAACGGCGAGCCAGTTCAGAGCGTTGTGACCCCTGAGGCTCTGAGCGCGTCCCGTGGCGCGGGGACGGCGGGCGCAACGACGAGGAGGAGAAATCTCACTCCACGCCAGCTGTAGCCGTTAGCGAAATATATACAAAACATCCCGCTACCTGGTAATTGGCTACAATCCGACCTTCCAATCGTCGCAAGCTTAGCAGAAGGATCAGCCGTCACCCGACTCAGGCTCTGGAGGAAATGTTGGAACGAGCAAAGCGCGGAACTAATGTTGCTGTAGCCGATTCGAGGACGGGTAAATACCATCCCAAACGACAGCTGAGAACCCGAAGCATGAAGGATTCCTCGCCTCCGACAAATGACGAGAATTGATACGAAGTTCGTAGCAAGCGACTATTGTCGCAGAACGGCGCTCCGAAGTGCTTGCCGAGAACAATACACTCATCTGAATAGCTCGCAGTCGGCGTCGTTCTCGTAGCGGTGTCGACGGCGATGACGACGGCGACTACAACAATATCCTGGTGAAACGCGAGGAATTTTAATGAACTTCTGAGCAAACTGTTCCTGTCAGGCGAATTCTTTTTGACCGCCGCGGCTAAGAGCGAGCCTGCAGTCATCACCTCTGTCACTTTCAGGGCTCGTACGCTACCATTGCGAGCGTTCCGAGAAGAATACGTGGTCGCCGTCTGAGAGAAAAGCGAAACGGACCACCTTTGTATTCAGCAGCATTTCCCTCCGGGAGCGAGTTCGCCCGGCGGTAGCGCTGCCAGAAAACGGGGAAAAGTCCACGATCCCAAATCGGCCAACAAACCCGAGCCAACAAAAAATTCCAGCTTTACATGGGAGCCTGCCATGTAGCCAAGAAACGTACGTCTATCCAACCTAATGGAAGCTTTTTTAACCGGAGCAAAGCACACAAAAGTACCGTGAACCGCGAACGCACCTGACAAACACGTTTTGCTGCCCGAGTCGATGACGAGGACGACATCGACGTTTTATACTCTGAGTCGGTTCGATGTTGATAGTACGTCCCAACAAATACAAGAAGGTTCACGACGAGCAGCGAACAGCCAACAGCTATTGTGATGAAAAGAGCTTTTGAGTACGGGCCCGATGCCAGGCTTTCCAACGACAAAGGCAAGTGGTCGACATCGACGGCTCCATGAGAGACATGCCCGAGAGTCACTGTCGCGGGCGAAGAGATCACCACCGAAGACAACAAAGGATCTGAAAGTTGCGATTCCTCACTTGTTGATGCCAATATTTCATGCGACTTGTCCGAGGCGCCACTCCGACGATCGTTAGAATCGCCTCGCTATCGAAGCGCTCCATATAATGTCGCCTCAGATGGAGACATAACTGACCTAACGCGAAGCTCCGAGGCATTGGAGCCGATGTCGCTTGCAGTGACGACACGAGCAGAGGTAGTCGGTAAACTAGCGATCTGTGCAGGGGTAACGTCACGTTGCTCGAAATGAAATCCTCGACCGAGCTGGTCCCGCTGGAGTCCTCGTCCGACCGGTGGAGCGCGGGTATAAGACGATTCCACAACGACATCCGATGCGAATCGAAGTGCTGCAGCGGTCGTGGTCTCGCTTCTGTGGAATTTCGCAATTTATAGATATTTACGTATCAAGAGCTCCGCTCGAGAGCGAAGCCCGGCACCGCGTTGCCCCCCGCAAGGCATCGAGCTGTGATGCTCTTCTCGTGTTCCAGACGCCGCCGCGCCGATTTACTCGAGCCCGCTCGAGCGATAAAAGTCATCGATGCGACAGAACTTCACGCGATAATTTAGGCCTCGAGGTTCCGGGAATTTCCGGAAGCGTTCTCGATACCGCACCGGAGATGGAAATCGTTTCCGATTTAATATGATCCGATTGAGGCCAAACTTCCGGTGCTTTCTGACTCACCAATTGTGAGGTATTCTCCACGAGTGGGTTCGAATCGCTGCCAGGAGATTTCTTCGGTAACTGGCCGTGACGGACGCTCGGAATTGACAGTCTCGATCGTGCTCGAGTTTGGTCGCCTAAAATTTTGGTCGAGAATCAGCTTACATAGATCGACGGTTCCAGCCGAGAGCTTCGCACCCCTTTTGCCTCTCGAAGCATTCTGTCCAGCCAGGACAGACACCGTCATTCCGAGATTCCCGAACTCGATTGATTGATTGATTGATTGATTGATTGATTGATTGATTGATTGATTGATTGATTGATTGATTGATTGATTGATTGATTGATTGATTGATTGATTGATTGATTGATTGATTGATTGATTGATTGATTGATTGATTGATTGATTGATTGATTGATTGATTGATTGATTGATTGATTGATTGATTGATTGATTGATTGATTGATTGATTGATTGATTGATTGATTGATTGATTGATTGATTGATTGATTGATTGATTGATTGATTGATTGATTGATTGATTGATTGATTGATTGATTGATTGATTGATTGATTGATTGATTGATTCACTGATGGATCAAGCGAGCATACCCTGTCCGGAGAAAATTATTCCAGTAGATCAGCATGAATTCGGAAATTTGAGCATCTTGTCGGCTGTAATTGAGACGGCGGCTCTGTTGATGATCGAGGAGCGGCATACCAAGCAGGAAGGTCAGAGCCTCTTCAGAATCAGGTGTGCAACTGTATAAATGGCTGTAGTCGCAGCTGGTGCTTTGATAAGCGAACACGTAGAAGAACGTCGAACGTTGACTTTTGCTGGAAAAGGGGCACACGTGGGTATTCGACTACGGAACGTTCCGCTCACAGCGTCGTTGCCAAGTTTCGTTGGCTTGCCATCGAGCCGGTGGCGTGACGACGACGGCGGCGGCGGCGGCACCCTTCTCTGGGAACGTTCAAAGCACCAGATGGCACATACATCTGCATCGAGCTCCCCGACTGTCTGCTTTTCTCTGTTCGGCATCCTCATCTGCTATCTATCGGTGTGATCCGCTTCGCCATGCGGGAGCTAGCTGTCGTCGTTCATTCGTTCGTTTAGTGTCCTCTATCTGAAGACTCTGCGCTCCTTCGCCGCGCCGGTAATTGGATGCCATCCGTCGCCTCCGCGTGCTAATTGAATGGCTCGAGATAAACTCGGGTACCTTGTTCTACAGCAGGCAGAGAAAGCGAACTGACGAACGGTACCGGGAAAACAAGCAACGAGAAGTTCCCACCAACCTCAGAGTTATCACATGTGAGTGGAGTGTTGTCACTTCCATTAAGGGCGCCACTACAGTTGCGTCGGATAAAGCCTCTGCCGTTTCCCGCAGGATGTCGGTCGTAGAAGGCTCGCTTTTCGTCCAGTCGGTGTATTCATTCGAGATTGAGAAGAGTATCTCGTTCTGGTGGAAAAAATACGAATTGCGAACGAGTGTTCGTAGAGCACGTTCTTTGTATTCAGCCTGTAAAAAAATCACCCCCGATGAGAGACTCCTGAGATGAGTGCTCCTTACGCATCCTCTGAGTGAGTGATTCTACGAGAATCGATCGGGTCCTTCTCTAAGTCGGCCTGCGCTGACTTGGAGTTTGTCTCGGGGCTCTCTCCGAATATGAAAAAGGAGTCCGGAGCCGCGATGCGTTTCGGAATTCGGAATTCCCCTGCTGCGAGATCGTACCGCCATTTCTCACTCCCCTCATCAGGACCTCTCGGCCCGGATAAGAATTGGCCGCTCAGAACGTCGCCGCGGAGATACTTCTTCAGGAATAAGGCGGACACCCTTTCGGGTCAACTCACATCGATGCCGTGTATTCGCTGATAATCATTGAATAGTTGGTAGCTTTCCCACTTGGTCACTCCCGTCAATAGATCGTGCTGGCCGAACGAGCTTGACCTTGATGTGTAGGCAGACGTGGCGGCGTAAATGTCATGGGGGACAAGGTCGCCGTCGGGCGTTGGCCCAAAAGGACCACAAAGATGTTCGGGAACCAATAACTTCGAGCTTGCTTGAACGAGTTCGTCCGCCGATCTTTCTCGGAAGCATTCCACCGGATCTTCGCCGGCCTCGCAGCGTAGACTTTTGGCGAGCAGTAAAGCCTGCTCGTCGGCGTCGTGGCACAGGGCCCACGAGGATAGCGCGCTGCCTCCGATCAGAGCGGCTCTTCTGAATAAACCTGAAACAACGAAACGAGTGAAAGGAGCGAGCCTGCAACAAACGGAATACAAATTCGTATAAATGATCTCCTAAGGCACCACGACGGGCCATTCCTTTCCCGCCGGTCGACAGCGAGTCCCTCCCGTCTCCGCAGGCAGCAGCTACGGGGACGGAGGCGCAGCGGCAGCGATCCCTACCGGTAGGTCTCCCCCTACGATCCGTGTCTTTCGTAACGTTCTCCTTGTGCGCACGTAATTCAACCTCAACTTTTCCCGACCGCTGAAACGCAACGCTTTCTCACGCCGCAGGGTCGCCTGCTCTCTTTTGCGCGAATTTCCGTCGTTCGTTGACCACCGAGCGAAATATCTACCGAAGGGCGATCCCCGGTCCCGAAGCGACGCAGACGCCATCCGGTTCCGTCGACCTTTGACGGGAATAACGTCTCATTATCCGGGAGATATTGATTAGGCTGCGAGTAATTGCTATGTCCATCTGGAGGTAGTTGATTATTATCTTCGTCGACCGAGATCCAGCTGACCGATCCAGCTGGCGGATGGTTTGCGTTGAGGTCACTCGGCAGCGGACGGCCCGTTAAGGACTAATCGACTGGCTCCGTTTTGTTCGGACGTGTGGATCAGAGTACAAAGGGAGCAAGGCGGGACAGGCTGCAAAAGATTTTCATAGCCCGATTCCGTCAGACCGTGCGACGCAATGGGCGATACGTGTATGTATGTACATCCGGGCAGCGCCGCGCCGAAACCAAAAGCGAAGGCCTGCTTGATCACATTTTACGCCCAGGTCCTGGCCGGACCTTCGAATGTGCCGAGTCGTCTTATTTATCCCGACTTGACACCCGTCCCCCAAGAGAAGCCCGTTTCGTGTCGCTGCCGCCAGCACACACAATGGCACAGAGAATCAACGAAAGAAGCAAGAAACGAGTTTTTTTCCCCTCCCAGGACCGGACGCTTTTCCCCTCCTCCCTATGATGGCTTGACTGCGTTCCATTCTCGATGAAAAGACTTACTCAGTGACTGACTGTCTGAGCGACCACTTCGTTAAACGAACGACCTGCCACCACGGTGGTACGGGGAACTCCTGAAGCGCCCGCACAAATTCAGCATCCTCGGCAGCCATCGCCACGTTAACACCGAGCCGACGTAGCTGCCCTCGCAAACAATGTACGAGCAGCAGCACCGACAACGCCGAGTGCCGGCGTCCGAAATATTACGCAGCGGGCAGAGACTGACGCAAATGTTTCTCTTCTGGTCGTCCATCCTCGAAGTGACAGTCCATCCTCAAACTTGCGAACGATTATAGCGGGAAAACTTCGCACTCGACATGTCGGCGGCGGAGATTCGAATGCCGCCGGACTGTTTCCTCACCCGAGGTGGCGGCGCTTTCTTATGTATATGCTGCTGCTGCTGCCGCGTAAGAGAGGAAAAACGTTGCATGAAATCTCTTACCGGTTGCTACGGGGTTGAGCATATGCAGATGAACAAGGACGGCGGCCTTCCCGGCGCCCAGCAGCGTCACTCTATCTCGATCACCCCCAAACGAGGCCGCGTTGAGTCGGAGCCACCGCAGAGCTTCGATCTGATCTCTGAGACCTACGTTCGCGGAGACTGTACCGGAGAGACTATTCGGGAGAAATCCTGGTCGAGAGGAAGATCGAGGGAAAATGAGGTCTTTAGATTCTTTCGAACATTCTGCTCGGTTTCCAGCGGGGAGAAAACTCGAGCGGAACTCCAACAGCGCTCATATTTACTCACCGAGTACTCCCACCCTGTAGTTGAGGGTGACGACAATCGAATTCGTGTACGCAGCCATCACCGAACCGTCTACGTAATTCCCCGCACCCCATGAGTAGGAGTCTCCTGTCGATACGATTACCAAAACGGGGATTCGACTCTCCGCCGATCGATGTGCTGGAAAAAAACGCACCTTGAGTTCCGAATGTCTACGCCGCGCCCGTAAAAGCGGTCGGAGCAGTCTTCATGGGAATCAGGCGAATCATGTCTCAGGAGTCCGGACAGAGAGCACGATTCGCGCCCGGGACCATCTCGGAAGAGCTTCGCCGGAGGCTGCCCCTATCAATATGCGACCTCCATCCTTCTACGGATATTCCGCTCCTGAGGCGTCCCGTCCACTCTCGCGCCGTTCTCGCAGGTAGCGGTCGACGAGACGGAACGATAAGAATTCGAGAACCATGAGTATTCTTGTGTTCCGTACGGACGTGTCCGAGTGAAGAAGAGGAAATCGTCCCGTCGGAGAATTCGTGGGAGGCTCGCCGGAGGGGAGAATTTTAATGAGACAAAAACAACGGGTCAAGATAGCAGACGACGAATGACCCCACGAAACGATAAGAATCCGCAAGGAGTAAGACGCCAGGTAATGCGTGTGACATCACCGTAGAGACACGTAAAAATGGCCCGACTGGGAGTCTGTGATAGGATGGAGCCTCGGTACATTTGTGCAAACATCACCCCAGTGTGACAATTACCTGTGCCGAATCTGTAACGGAGCTTACGAAACCCCGTCATTATGAGCTGCTACCATTGACCGTCTATATGTTTACACTTGCGCGCTCGGTGAACTTCCCGATGCTCCAGCAAGCCCACGCGGCGGGAGGTCTCTCGTGCAAGTATCATTGCCTCCTCACGAAACTCCATTCGTTCTTGCCCTCACAGAAGTTCTCGAAGAACGGCGATTAGATCCTGACGACCGTATCCTCTTTCAGGCCGTTTCGATCCTTATTCATACAAAATCTCAGACGTTCCCGGTTCGGAATGACAACCAGTTGGTCGGGCCAGTAATCGATGTAGGTCAGGAAGCCTTGACGCGGACGTTTTCGGATCATGAAAGTTTCAGAGGCCAAGGTAAGAAGTCTGGCCGCGGCGCCGAGGACCTCTCGCGCCGAGATTCCCATAAATGCTCAGCGAAATCGGAGATGTCAATCAGTCTGTATAAATCACCTGTCTGGGACACTGGCCTCTTCAATTGAGAATCCGTTCGATTGTCGGAAGATTCCCACCACGAGGGCTCCCGACCTGATCCTCGCGGGAAACACGAATACTCTGTCAGAAGGAATCGTCGATGCGCTCACTCCTGATTCTACGTACCTACAACGTTTTCCACCAATGAATGAGGACGTCGGGCTGAAGGATTCGGAGGAAAATTGGCTTCCTCAGCACAGGCGATGCGTCTAGGGAGGATAATTTGCCGGAAATCTCTCCACTCGAGAGCCCGGTCATGCTCCATCCTCACTGGATGAGCCCTCCAGTGGAGCATAAAGCAATGGGCTACAGACATGCACAGAGTCTCTGAGTAAGTGGGAGAAAGAATCAAAATAGAACTTACACGAAGGAGCGTAGATGTTTAGGTAGAGACAGTCTTCGGACTGGTTTCCCTCGATGAAGGGCTTTATCCGTTGCAAGAGCTTCAATCTCGAGGTCGAGATCTTCAGCTGAAATGCTTCTTCCCAGCTCCCTGTCGGAGTTGTCGGAATTTCCGGAAATGCCTGGACGCAAACTGGAGGCATGGATTCTAGATCGCGAATTCCGTCCCATTTCGCAACGGGCTGAGGAGGTTGGAACCTCAGCTTGCCCACAGGTGGCGCTGCGTAGGGGATTCCCAAGAAGACTTCGACATCCTGTAGACGATGCGGAGAGCTGAGTTTGATTGTTCGTCCTCTGACGACGCCCGAAGTTGTGTGAACGGTCCTGCCGCTGTTGCTGGCAGCGCTGTTCTGCGTCGGAGCTGACGCCAGGTCTGCGCCGACGCCCGAGCCCGATGATGCCGTGAGCGCATCGAGCAATAGAGAGAGCAGCAGTAATAGCTGTGATTTCGGGCTCTTAACGGACGACAACAGAAGCGAGCGGCCCGGCAGAGACGTCGGCGGAGCAGGCATTTCTGCGTATTTCCGGCCTCTCGATCAGTTCTCGGCTCGGTCGCCGCGTCCCCGCGTCACCATAGAGTCCACGTCGAGAGCTCGCTCTCTCTCATAGCGGCGATGCGTGGCTATTGCGACACGACAGCCGAAAGACGGAATCCAATGTTCCCCATACTCCATATCGTTCAGACGTCGGCGGTGCGAGCGCAGTCCGAGGGGTAGCAGTCGACGAACTCTTGCCCCGGAGGCATACGACTACCTGGAACGGGAAAGAATTTCAGTGTTCGACGGCGACAACAATGCAACAGTGGTAGCGTCTACAGCCGTGTTTGCGTCGCACTCGCTGCGGCGATACGTTGTTTCCTCTTCCATCAACCGCAAAGCACCGTTACCGCTACCTCGTTAGATCGTTGCTCTTACGGACCGAGTTTGCAAGATGCGTTCACATCGGCATGGGAAACGGTGCAAGGCGACCTGATTGATCGATTGATTAATTATTATTCCCTCAATCCATCAATCTGCAAGCCGGGGCTCGGTGAATCACTCAGAACCCGCAACAACGAACATAAAAGTTCCTCTGCCCACACGGAGAGCACCAACATCAGGAAACACCGACGACTCGCTCCGAGTGCTGGCGGTCGGTCACCGCCGCCGCCCGCTCCACGGAGGACCCACCGTAGGAACGAACTCATTTGTCAGGAGAAATAAAGCTCTCGAGCACGAGAGCAGACAGGGAATGCGAGCCGTAATTAAAAGAGATAAGATTTGTTAGGGTCACCCTATCTCTCATGGGCTGGCACTCTCAAGATATTAGCATTCTTCGAGAGAAGGATTTCCGGAGCATTAGGGAATATGAGGTAGTAGGAATGGTGCGGCGATCATCCTACGGCTCTCCCATATTACGCCGCGCGGAGTCTCGCTCGCCTCCAGGCCGCGAGTTCGCCCTGGAGCATTCAGACGCGAAATCACCTTCATCTCTGCGTCCGTTTGTCTGGTTTTGCGTACTCGCATGGGATTCCGCCGCTACTCGGACTGAGCGCGGAGGGAGTAATGGGATCAGAGGAAGGCGGAGGCGCGAGCAGTCGGACTGGCTGACGGAGTGAGTAGCGGAGTATCTGCAGGCAAAAGCGGCTTCTCGCGCATAGAGCGTTGTATTCGTTTCTTGGAGCTCGTTTCTGTTCGAACGTGTTCACTCAATGTCGCGAACGGTCGCATTTGGGAGCTTTCGGCACTTGATTCTGTTTCCCTGGAGCCTGTTGTTCTTTACTTGGTCGAGTTTCACTCCGTCAGAGAGACCACCCCAGCACATGGGAGAACTCTCAATTCATGGTCGACCAGTCAGCCAAGCTGCCGGGAGAGCCTATTGAGCAATTTCGCTACTATTTCCCTCTCACGAGAGAGAAAATGAAAGATCCGTGCAGAAACTGGAAGAGGCAACGAGGCTCACCGTCTACCACTGCGAGAATAGGCTCTTGCGTCGGGTGATTTCGTCGACCTGTTCGCTCCGCTTTTGCTGAGCCCAAGTTTCTCGTCGAGGGCTTTCTCCTCACCCTCTCCTGCGTGAAGGTCAGAGGGAAGCCCACAGGGCGAATCGGGGACCGATGAGTCGGGGTTCTCTTTACAGTGCTCAGAGTTCTGAGGGATTTTCCCTCCAAAAGGAGAATCGAGGGCCCGCGCGTCCTGTGTCGAAAGTATTGGTACTTCACGATAGAAAAATTTCGAAAATTCTCGTTCGGCCGCTTCTTAGACCTCTCGTCCTCTCATACGTCCCGGTTTCCACAACTTGGGACCCATTAAATCATTTTCCAAGGCTTCGTTGCTCCGGTCTTCGCTGAACTTCTGAACAGCACTCATGCCACCGCGAGAATACAGAGTTCGTTTTGTGGATTTGAAATCTCTTGGAGGTGGATCGCGACCGCCCTCGAACACTTGGACTGAAGCGAAAAACTTTGGTCGCTTTGTACCTAGATCGCTCACAGCACTTCAGCTTTTCACTTCAACAAGCTCTGAGAAGACTGGATCATAAATAATTCTCATCATCTCAAATTGAAAGCTTCTCAGAGGGAAACGGCGGGCGGGACCGGGCGGAGGACTCGGGGCTCCGAGCTCCGAGCCGAGTCTCGTCGGATCGAGCGGGATCAGACGGTGGAGAAGTCAACAGATGGCTTCAGACATTAGAGCAAGTTCAGCTTCGATATCTCAAAGCGAAAGAGGATTGAAGCTTCTGGAATAGATTAGCTCTTTCGAGCACCGGCTCGAATGACTTCCGCGGCTGCGGTGGAGAAAAAGCCGAGAATTTATTTACCAATATCGGAAAGATAGCATTTCTTGAAACCCGAACGGAGTACACTTCGCTCCATTATCCCTTGCCCGGGCACTATGAGTCCAAGACGACCGAAACTCTGGAAGACCTCTCTGGTCCACGCTCATCGTCAGTGGTTCAATTACCATAAGTATGAGAATCATGGGAAAGATTCGTAGGAATCCGTTCTCCGGCGACTCCCCCAAGATCATTCGATTTTGACGGTACAATCAACGCAGCGAGTGCGCCCCTCTCACTCTCGAGCCCTTGTCGGGAGAAGCCAGATGGTAGCCGCAATAGCTGAACGAGGACGTAGCCGGCGAACGGTATAGTCGCGCCAGCTGTATCCCCACGCTGAGATATCCCCCGTTCATGTCCTAATTTGGTTTACGTGCAAGAGCGGCACATCTGCCTTTGACACTAGCCCTTAGCGGCTTAAATAATATTGCTCACTCAGCGAAATCGGTGGCTGTCGGATATCTTATATAACAGCCAATACGGACACGAAAAGTCGATGTTCGCCACGGACGGGACCGATGACCCGCGCGTACCGGGAACAAGCCTTCGTGACATCAATTGACAGAAGAATGTCTCGATTGAGTCGGTTTCCAAGTCCCAAATGAATCACATGCAAATCACGGAATAGCGAGATCGGCTCTCGCTTATTCGAGAATTCCCCCGTACGAGGGTCCGAGGAAAACCATCCGGATCATTTTTCGGAGGAAATAAAGTTCCGAGTCGGCGACCGGGTCCTATTTCATCTGCGATCCTCTTTCGATGTGTCCGCAGAGCAGACCTGTCGAATGGGATCTTGCATAAGGTCTCGGTAAATGTGGGGAGAAAATGAAACAGCGCTCCCCATAAAAACGCGACCAAACGTCACGTCTCTCAGTCGAGTCCTCCTCTTTCCGGGAGTCGGCTCTCTCTAGCGAGGAAATATCCTGCCGGGATACAAGGCTGAGAGGGTATCGGGGAGATCGGAGTAATTTTGCGATCGGTGGTGATGGAGTAGAAGTCGCGTGGAGTTTTGTGATTCCTCTGGGATCACATCCCGCAGACTGTCACTCAAGTCGATATTCGGTGCGGGACGCGTTGCCTAGAACTTGGCCTCTAGATTCGGTCTCGAAAGGCGAGCTCCCCGTGCCTTAGTGCGAAGTTAAGCGTGTACTTATGCATGCGAGACGTTGCCAGCCGAGGATTCTCACTTTGGGGAATCGGTGCTACCAGAGCGCACCCGCATAGCGAACGAGGCGAAGGCAGCAGGCTTGAGCACTGATAATTAGGCTGAATAAAATTTGCTGACAGCCAGCGTGCCGGATTGAGGCCTCGATCCGTGAGAGCTCATTCGGATATTCTAGCCCGGAAAGAGGACTCCATCGCATTCTCCTAATCCTCAACGTATAATTAGGCTATCCGGAAGACAAGTTTCAGAGCGGACAGCTGGAGGAATTTCATCCGACACACAACCCAGACCCAGGGAAGAATCGGATACTAGATGTTCGTCTTGAAGATATCCGGAGTCGGAGCCGACAGCGAGAGGACCGAAAGCCGGAGGTCTTATTCCGCTGCCTGGGGAACTATACTCCACTTCTTGATACGTCTTCCCTTATTTCCGGTCGCCTTGAACCCCTCGCTGCGCCCACTATCACCAGAGACTGTGACGGTAGTAAGCATCCAGCGGAGTGAGCATGGAGAACTTGGTCCTTGCGTAGAACCCATCTGCCGGATCGGATCGCTGCGGCTACAAAAATGGAAGCAAGGATCCAATGTGGTTCAAACGCTCGACACTCTGGACCAGTGTTTCCCAAGGATTTCCCGCCGAGTTCCACCTCAATATCAAATCGCTCACCACGCCCTACCTTCCATAGGCTTCGGCTGGGACGGGAATCCTTTCGCGCCGGTGGGGCCAGTGGCCCACGCTTAGAATAACAGCTCTAGACCCTGAACAGTTTGTGCATTTACACTCCGACCAGAGATGATATCGATTTCCGTTAGACTTCTCCACAGGATCGTTCTGGGAAACTTCGTTCCGGGATGCGTCAGCCGTTGGCTGCAAATTTGCGAGATCCCTGCAGAGAGCCTCCTGATAGCGAGAATTTTGATATGTACCTACAACATGGAACAAGATCACGACGTCCCAATCAGCCGACCCTGACAGTGTCTTCGCTCGGCAGGTTCGTCAAGCTCTCGCAGCTCATTCGTCTTCTTCAACTTCCCGCCTTCTTCGGAGATCTTGACGCTCTCTCGGAATAGCTTCGCTCCGCCGAGGCAGCAACACTACGGTTGATTAGTCCTGCCTGTGAATAATGGCGTTCCCGAATTTCGGAGCCAGATGTTCCTTATGACGACGGTCTCAGCCCTCGAGCAAAGTCACCGTATCATGAAGGCAGAGCTAGTATCGCTCCGTAAACATTGTTACACACTGTTCGGATTCCGCGGTATATTTTCGTGGCTGTGCACCGCTAGCGAAGGGTGACCCGGCGCCGGCGGTCGCAGACTCCGAGAGGAAATTTACTCGCTAACAGGTAGTGAAGTCGCTGATTTTTCCTCTCGAAGCTGAATCGATTCCGCCGAAGAGACTGAAGGAAGCTCGAAGACGTAGTCGATGGACTCCGGGCCGCAAATTGCAGTATCCTTCGTGAAATGAGTCCGATAGGGATCTCGGAACATCGGTTCGAGTGTGTCAGAGCGAGCCGTCCTCGCCACTGTTCCGCAA